CTACTTCTTTGTTGTAGTCCAGAGCTTTCCCAGAACTTCTTCTGTCTGTCTGTAGTTGTTTATTTACTGTTTCTGTGAGGGAAATGAGTTTCAGGACCTCCTAGCCTGCCATCTTACTGACATCAGTTTTATTTAAAGCTTGAGGAAGCATGAAAGAATCTGGAAAGGTAATAATGAGAATAAGATCTTGAAGTCTGAACTGGGTGAGGGATGATTTATCTGTAAAGTCTATTAATTAGGCTACTGGCAGAAATACACACACGTACACACAAAAAATCAATCTAAAACTAGGGATGTGCTTTATTGCTAATTATTAACGTATTTAGCATATTCATCTTCTTTTGCCTAAATAGTTTGCTATTTTTAAATACGTTTCAAATTTACCCCATTTCCATAGTTTGTTCATATCTCTAACAGTTAACTCAGAGTTGCAATTATTTGTTTGCATGAATGTCTTCCCCAGTAAATTATTGATTCCCTAGAGGACAGGGACTTACTCTATCTTTGTTTCCAACTCAAAACTCTGTGCTTGGTGTACCTAGTTACACTTAAAAAGTGGTTGTTAAAGGATGGAGGAGAGGAACTAGAGTCTATTCGGTGTCCACTTGAAATAAGAAGCAAATTTGCGTAATCTTCAGGCCTTAATAGGCAGAACTCTCTTCTGTTCCATCCACCTCACCTTAAGTATGACTTTTTTTTTTTTTTTAGAATTTTTTTTTTTTTTATAGAGGCATGTTTTTATTTGTTTTCTTTCTTTGTTTGTTTTTGTTTATACACGCACTGGGTACAGTCAGAAGCGCGGGAGGGTGAGAGAATTCACCAGAGCCAGAGCGGGGAGCAGAGCAGGCAGAAGGACCGAAGTACACTGCTGAGGGGGCAGCGGGCGGCAGGAGAGGTTTGCCTGCCATGTGGGATCCTCCTCCGGTGGCCGGGGAGCAGCCGGGGATTGAACCGACGCCGCAGAGGCCGCGAGCAGCTTCGCAACCCAGCGCTCAACCGCTGCGCCACCGGGGAGGCCCTTAAAGTATGACTTTATGTCCTCCCACCTACTCTTCTCAAGGCCGAAAATTGCATCTCTATAATAATCTTGGTAGAAAAACTTTGGTGTACATTTTCTAAATGTAAATTCCCAGGTTCTAAGAGGTTGGACACCCTCAAAATTACTGCTATTAATGAAGAAGAATGAGAAAATTGAGGTACTCAAAAATGGATTATTTTCTAAACTGATGGTAAAAATACAGTGTTTCAGTCTCACTAATATATTTAGTTTGCTATTAGACGTATGGCCTGTGAGGGGAAAAGGTTATTGACATTAAAACACTTTCATTTTTTTCTTTTTATGTTTTGACCCCTTTCACCTATTTCTCCCACCATCACCCGCTCTGGCAATGACTAAGCCTCTGTATCCATTAAGTTGGCCTTCTGGTTTTGGTTGTTATTTTTAAAATTTCACCTATAAAAGGGATCCTATGGTATTTTTCTTTTTTAATTTTAATTTTGGGGGTTACATCTTTGTTCTTCCATATGTATACATGTAGTACACACTTACAAGTTAATTTCCCCATGTCCAGTGCAACAGGTAAAATAGGTAGGTAGGTTGAAATTTGTGTAACAGGATATTTGGAGCCATATCAAGAATTGGAAGCTAACTTGATCCTTGATTTTTTTAAAATTTGTGAAAATTACAAGTGGTCCTTTATAAAAACTAAGTAACATCTTCCCAGGTTACTTGGAGAGATGATAAATTACCTGAGTTGTGCAACAAATCCCTGTGGAAGCAACTAGTTGAGCAGAGTTTAATTAAATCAGAAATAAGGCCTAAATGGTCTGTAGTGTGTAGGAGTTCTGTATGCTCGAACCCATTGTTGGGGAAGTCTGACTGTGTTACCAGTTTCTACTTTTCAGTACTGGAGGGAGGTCCTGACTGTTTCTTATAGGGTTCTGGGTGTTACTAAGAGTGTCTGAAGATTCAGAACAGGAGTCACTCAGAATCTGACAGTGTTTGCTGAGAATGTGGCCTTGGTAGGGAAGGCACTCATACCAAGCAATGTTTAAATTTACTTTCTTGGGCCTCCCCGGTGGCACAACGGGTTGAGCGCCATGCTGTGAAGCTGTCAGCAGCCTCCACAGCACCGGTTCGATTCCCGGCCAGCCAGGCAGAATCCCATATGGCGAGGAAGACCTCTCCTGTCTAACCCATTGCTCCTTTCAGCAGTGCCTTTGGTCTGTCAGCCTGTTCTGCTCCCCACTCTGTCTGTGGTGAATCCTCTCACCCTCTGGCCTGTACCCCAGCTCTTGTATAAATAAAAATAAATCTTTAAAAAAAATTATAAAAATAAAAATAAATTTACTTTCCATATTTGCAACACAAATAGAAATTTACAGTGGACAAAAAGATAAGTTGTCAACATTTATCTTCCTCCAAAATTACTCTCTCTGGAAAGGATGCCAAATGTGGGATGTTCCCATCATCACAGACAGCATGCATCCTTGGTATACAATAAGGAAAAAGCAGTGACTCAGGGTGGAGGACACTAGGGGACTGGTTTGCTTAAGTTGCTCTTTTGCTTTTTTTTTTTTGTTGTTGTTCATTCTAAAATTAGGACAGAAAGAACTTATTCCAGAAATCTGGATCAACTCTAAATTTTGGTTTTCTCATTAAACTTGACTACTTTGAGAATCTGTTATCAATAAGCCTGTTATCTTTTTGTTGCTGGCAAACAGTACTGAGAAATTATCGATGAAGGTAAATTGATCTTTGAAACATGACCTTTTAGGTAGAAGAGGACCATTTCATATTGCCCACTCCAGAAATTCTCTGGTGGACTCAGCCATGAGCCAAAACTACTTTTTTGAGCAAGGTTTATTCCAGTCATTTACCTTTAAGAGGAATCCAGCTTTATTCCAGGTCCATTTATTGCCATGTAAACTATCTCTGAGCCTTAAATATCATGATATGTTAAACATGGTCGCTGTGCTTATAAAATTTAAAATATCAAGGTCAAGAAGCTGAAAGTACTGCTTTGGCAGAAGCCTCTCTAAGGCAGCCGTGGTGGGGGTGGGCAATTGCAAGGCCCGAAGCTCCCCTTCCTGTGGTTGTGGGAAGACACTTTCCATTCCTGCGCGTTATTTGTGGCTCTCTGAGGAACTCATTTAACACTGTTCTCCAGTGTACAATCTTAGGAGGTAGCACTGGAATTTTCTAGTTCTTGCTAGAATGTTTGCTTTAATCCACGAGTGTCCTATGGCACAAAAAGTCCAGTCGTAAAGAACGAGCTCACAGAGAGAGCCCTGAGGAATGGATCTTGGAATATGCCACTGTTTTCACATCCTTGATATACTGATCCAGAGCGAACTGCGTAACAGCATGACCAAGCAGTGGAATTCCAGCTGGGGCTCCAAAGCTGACAACCATGGTAAATTCTGTGGCAGCAGGATATTTGGAAGGAAGGTTTTGAAGTTAATTGAATATTTTATGATTAACAAAAAGTTATCCAGAAAACTCTGTTGCACCTCAAGTTAGTGAAACTCTTTCCTTTTTTAAGTATAATTAAAAATATGGTTCTTTTCTTTTAAGATTGTAAACTCTTACAGTCTTAAAACTCTTTCTATTCTGCTTTACAGGCTACTGTAAAACTCTTCATCACTTACATAACATTTTTTTTTAATAAATGTCGTTTTTTTTTTTCCCCCAAAGATTTATTTATTTATTTATTTATTTGTACAAGCACTGGGTACAGTCAGAAGGGCGGGAGGGTGAGAGAATTCACCAGAGCCAGAGCGGGGAACAGAACAGGCAGACTGACGAAACATACTGCTGAAGGGAGCAGCAGGCGTGGCAGGAGAGGTCTGGGTGCCATATGGGACCCTTGCCAGTGGCCGGGGATCGAGCCAGTGCTACAGAAGCTGCAGGCAGCTTCGCAACCCAGCGCTCAACCACTGCGCCACCGGGGAGGCCCACATAACATTATTTTAATCAAAAAAGCTTATTGTATATTTCCTACAAAATGACTGTTGAAGGTAAACTGACTGGAATGAACACACACTGAAACAGCCTCAGAGTTATTAGAGAAAAGGGAGAAATTCAGATATGAGGCTTTGGACATTTTTTGTTTCTCTTAAAACAGATGACAGAAAAAAATGCATCTAATAAAGGATAATGAATTCTCTGAAAGTGACCATTCCTAGCAAAAATAATGAAAAACATGGTGGTGAGAATTTTACTCCTAAATCCTGGATTTTAGTTTTTCAGTTCACTCTGGGTCTTGTGGGACTCAGAGTAGGTCACAAGAGACGCCGGGCGGGGTCTTTTCCAACACTAAAATGTAAAATATAAATCTTGGTATGAAAAATCATGCAGTTTTATTTTCTTTATTGGAATATATTGTTTCAATTAGTATCCACTTTCACGTTTTCTTTCATGGGACTGTTTCACCCATCATGAATAACCATATATGCATCTATAGGTACATGTATGCATGTAAAATTATGTAAGTTCAAGTTTTTATAATGTCTAAAATATACAGAATTTAGAAATCACCATATTTTAGGGAGAAGAAAAGCCTCTATTAGTGACTGTTCCCATAGCTTTTTGCTGAGATTATAAAATAGGCCTGGGAGGGCTATAATGAGCCGGTAATTTATAGACTATTAAGATACTTAGTTAGAAGTGATTCTTGAGCATGTCCAATAGAGAACACATGTTTATAAAGGACAAACATATTCAACACAACATGTCTTTGGCTTAACCAAGCCCAATCAATTAACAAAATGGATGTCTTATTTTGCATATCTCCTGCTTCCCCAAAATAGAATCACTAACCACTTGTTAACCACACTGACTTTTTAATAGAGTGGTTACTATAGTTTTGCCACCAGAAATGTTCAGATTAAGCACCCTGTTAGATTGTAGCCAGCAGAGTCTACACAAACAGGAAGAAAGCTCTGCTTGCTTTTTTGCCTCTTTTTCTGGTTTGACTTGATGTGATAATTCATTGCAGATTTCTTTTTCTTTGACAGAGTGCCTACCGCAGAAACGGAATGGCTTTTCTGGCCTGCTGAAGTGACTGTGACTGTAACAACCGAAAAGGCAATGAATGTTCTATTAAGGTGACTTCTGTTTCCCTCCTTGGACAAAAATAAAATACAAGTTTACCTTCTCTGTCTCCTCAGAGTGGGCTGGTTTGTTGTGACTATCAACTGGCTGACTCCAGCTCTTTTCCAGCCCCCTCAATGCTTAGTCTTGTTTACTAGATGGGCCATTTAGCTAATTAATGGCAGGATGTTTGGGATAGTGTGTAGGTGGACAAGAATGCAGATCACACAATTTTGAAATTTTAATTTGAAATGGATTTACTGCCCTCAGTGCACATATCTTAAAAGCAGTGTTGTTTTTTTTTTTCCTCTAGCACTTAGTCTATTTTGTTTGATGCATATTGTAATCCAAATTTAAAACAAAGGAAACAAAATTTAAAAGGTAGTCAGTTTTCCTCCATTCACTGTCCCATCAACCTTACTAGCCAACATTTGTTGACTATATCTACATGTATCTTAGAGGTGAATATCCATTTTTTAAATTCACACTAATCAAATATCTGACATGATATACTGTCCGCATCTTCTCTCCCCTTACCCCACTAATAGTATAAGTAATTCTCAAGCCTTCTTCCCAGAATCCTGCATCTCTGTCTACCATGTGTGTTTTGCCTCATGTAATCCCTCCTCCCCAATCTTCATTTCTCTCCTTCCCCTGTCCCTCTCATCCCCAGGCCTGCTCCTTACACACACACACACACACACACACACACACACACACAAAGCCATTTAGAAGCAAAGGAATCAGTTTCAATAGAAGGGGAGCTGAGCAATCTGCTATCTCTTTTCCACACACCACCACACTTTGCCTGGAAGTGTGCTCAGGTATATATTGCTGGTGGAGCTGAGCTTCCCTTCTCAAGTCTATACCCTCTCCAGTAGATAAGGAACTGTGACTCTTGGGAAAAACCCAAAATATAGCAGATGTAATGGTAAATTTCCTGGTTCAACCTGAATTGCAAAAACAGAAGTTATTTCTTTTATTTTGTGTAATTTTACTTTTATCGTGGTTTTTACACACACTCAAGTCTTTGTAAAGAATTAATAAAAGCAGAAGTGAGAAGCATGAAAGATTTTCCTCCTGTGACCAAGTCATTTTGAGGATCAGTTAATATGATTGCGCCATATTATTCACATTTGTTAACTATCATTTACCTGTTCTATGTGAGTCCTTCTGGAAAAAATCTTCATGTCAAGAGCAAAAAATGCAGATATATAATATCAAAAAATTGCCAAAGGGTTTTGATGTTCCATCTGTGCTTGTTGAAATGTATGATTAAACTTTTCTTTTTATCATCATTCTTATTTTTCTTGGCGTCCCTAATCATGGAAAATTATAAGCTTACAGTAAACATCCTAACTTTTAAAACGACAGCATTTATTGTATTTGGTTTCGATCTGCCAGGCTTATAGATGGTATAAAATTTTCAGAGGCTAATTTTTCACATCAAAATTCCTTCTCTCCCACATTATACATTTTAAAGTATGCACAAGGCAGAAAATACGGGGTTTAGGGTTTTTCCCTTCATTTTATTCTACCTGATCTCCTTATAGTCCCAGAGAAGGAAGACTCAATGTACATTTCTCTCAGAAATATGACAGGTCTCTGTTTTTGTTGGTCTGGCGTATGTTTGTCTATCTTGAACAGTCTGACAGGTAATTATTTATAAAATCTGGTTTTGCCCAGTAAGTCCATATAATAACCTTTCACTTTTCATCATAAGCCAGTGAGCTGAATTTAGAACAAAACAAGGTCATTTATGTCTGCCCTGAACCAGCCTAGATGTCCCCAAGATTGCTCAATATGAATATTTTTAATTTTTTTTCTTTTCTACACTTAGGTTCTTTCTCTGACTTTTTCCACAACCAAATTTGAAGTGAAATAAAATTTCCTTAAGTAGTGAGTATAGAAAAAAATATATAGAAAAGTTTCAGAAAATGTAAGTACAATCAATTGTGCTCTCAAGTTTAAATGTTATGCATAAAGTGATAAAATGTTACAGCAGAAGATGGTCTTAAAGATCAGTGCAAACAACTGCTTGTTTTACCAGTGAAAAAGCATGGCCTCCAGAGGGAAACTGACTTTCCCAAGATCACTTAGTAATGGCAGTGACAGACCGGAGACCAGACTAAAGTCTCTAATCCTCAGTCTAGTATTATATTCCACCAGACTGGATTTACATTAGATACTGCCACCAAGACACACCTGGACTTTATGGCATGTTTATCTTAGACAATAACCTAAATTTATAAGTTATAATTATGGACACATCCTGAAGGATAAGTGTTCACATTAAAACCTTCTTCAAAGGAACTATGAGTATGAATTAAATGATCTTTGTGTCTCACACATCAGGATCAACTCTAAATTAAATGAGGACACACAGAATATGTAGTTTCTATTTTTAGAGCCTTGTGTGTTGGAGATTGAATTTGAGGATAAATAAAACCAAGTAAATAAACAAACTCTTTTAGGGGGAAATTGATCTGCCTCATAGATTTGACGGTGAAGGAAATAGAAATATTTCTCCCTTCACCTAAATTTGGAGGTGTGACTTTCTGAACATGCCATTTTGAGGCTGTAACTAACCTTCCTGCCTTCACATATTGCAACATTGAGACTCAAAAATAATGTTCCAATTTTAGAGCCAGGAGTCTTTATTTAAAAACCATCAGATGTACAAATATTTTTAAGTGATATATATAATTCTTGTATTTGGGGATATAATACTGGGGAGAATTTTCCATTTATTACTATGTGTTCTTTGTTCCTATAAAATAATAAACAGTTCCTATTTAATGCTTTTACCATGTTGAAGACAAATAAACATAATATGATTCTTAGTCTGAACAAAAACAAGTTTAGTTGTCTAGAAATTATAGTTTAATTTTATGAAAAAAAATGTATTTATTTCCCAAATCAGTTATTTCTTTTCAGTTCATAAAACTCCTGTGTAAAACTAAATCAGTAAGAGAAAGTATTCCCTCATCTGTTCTCCTGGAATTTAGATAGAACCTTCCCAGGTTGCATTTAAAATCCTACCATCAACCATGTATGTATCTCATAAAATATTTTACAGCTTCCTGTATGCTCTGGCTGAACATTTCATAGTACATAAACACTTCTGCAAATAATGTAAGGGCATCAAGTTGAATATGTCATAGCAGTGGCCCCCACATAAAGCTGTTTCTGCAGTAATTTATTTTCTTATTTTTATCTTATTTGAAATCCAAGATGAAGCTTTCTGTGCTCTTAATGTGGGGTGGGGTGGGGGAGGGGGGTAGATTTCGTAAAGTTGTGTTCATTAAAGCGCAGGCTTTCTACAGAGGGCATCAAGCCAAGCTTAAACAACAAAACCATGCCTGCAGGAATTGGATGTAAATGTGATGGTTAAATAAGGGCCAGATGCCTTTAAAATCTCAAATATTAAAAAGTCATATCTCTTAAAGTAAGCCTCTAATGTAGTGAGAAGGATAGTGATACCATAGCCCTTTAAAAAAAAGAAAGAAAGAAAGAGACTGGCATTTGTTTTCTGGAACAAAATATCAAATATTCAAACTGTCATAAGTCATGGAAATTTTGGCAATTGAAGCATATTTTAAAACAATCAATTCCTACAAAGTCACAAGAAACCCACATGCAATATTTTATTGTTGGAAACCACTGAAATTCTGTATAGAGCATTATATTCGTGTTCCCTGTCTGTGTATCACCTCCCAATATTCCATTTCCATCTTTTTTCCAAAAGAAAATAAAAATAGAAAAACATATAGTTAAAATCAAGATTCCTTACATAATTTTATGTATACCAGGTAAACCAACACTCTACTTGCTACCAAAGTTTTAATAATAACTTTAACATAATTATAATATACTGTGTGCCGCCCAACATGCTAAGCATCCTGAGGGTTATCTCATTTAATACTCACAAAGCCACTATGCACTATTTCTCTCCCAGTTGCCCTAGCAGTAGAGAGGGAACTAAGGAACAGAGGTTAAAAGCCTTAAGCAGAGGTACCCATGATGGAACTGACATTTGCACCCAGCTTTTGACCCCAGAGTTCAAGTTCTCAACCAATTGTTACGCAGCACAAACTACACTAAAGATTTCTGATAACAAATTCAAGAGAATTTCTGCCCTGAACTGAGATGTATTTTCCAGTACCAAAAAACTTGATTACAAGAAAATTTCATTTTAACTTAGCATTCCTTCTCTAAGGCCAGGAATTATGTATATAATAGAATATCATATAATGTATCATAGAAAATAATTATATAGAATGATGCCAAGTCCTCTATAATGTCTGAAACCTTAAGGTAAATACATATGATCGCTACACATAGTAAGACTCCCTACTCAAATTATGAGAAAAATTTGCACAGAGATCCCTGTATTCAAAGCCTCTCCTTTGTGAAAAGCAGATTTCTGCAGAAGGCTCTAATTACATAGGCTTTCATACAAGGTATTTATCTCATATTATAAAATAACCCTCATCTTGTTTACATGTGTTTGCAGTGGCAGATACAGAAGTACATATGATAACCACTTAAAGCTTTATACAAATGTCCCTTTTAAGTGCTTGTTCATTAATTATGATAATGTCATAGTTTCTTTCAGCCGGGATGTTTGTGTGTGCTGGGGGGAGTGGTGGAAAGAGATAAAGAAGAAACTGGAAAGAAATTGCTGAGCGCAATTTGAATTAGAAGTTATTATTTTCCTCTTTCATGGGTAGTTGGCAGCTTCTTTAATTCAATCTTAGGTCTGTTCTGCCTCAGGACAAGTTACTTTCTGAGTTATGTCCTTTCAAATCCTAACGACGAGCGTGTGGTGCTGAATGCCCACATCTTTCTCTTCTCAATGGTGATTTACTTCCTCCAAAAGCTCTGACGTGGGAGAAGTGAGTTCATCTGCTAGGACACTAGCCACTTCTCTCTCCTCCCTGACCACTAGGTGCAGGTCAGGCGAACAGCCCCTAAGCAGCAGTGACTGTTACAGCTGGTGGTTGGCTTCCCACACTGCTGTAGAGACAAAACCTGAATGGGGTTAGGCAGCTTATTCCTTACACAGCTGCATCAGCAAGATTAGTAAGTACCGACTTTACCTTGTTCCTAACCCCACAGGAAGATACCAAACCACACACCCACCTGACAGAAGACGTGAATGGTGGGTGTTCATGTCATGAAGTGACAGTGTCTTGGAGAAACCAGCTCAAAGCATCCCATGCATGGGGTTTCTTGTGGCCTTTGTGAGTAGGGCAGTGTGATTTCACTCTTGTTTGAAGGGGTTAATGACTCAGAAAGAGAGATTTGCCTGACAATCACCCTCACACCACCGAAGACCTAAGAACTTTTGTGTCCCTCCTGAATCTACACAAACTTGAAAAAAGAATTATAGATTTACTCACTATTTTTGTCTATAATACCATTTTATAAAATCTAGTTCTTTCATTAGTTTACTATAAGGACGATGAGACATTTTAGGATGACTCTTCCCTAAAGGAATAATATGTCCGCTGAACTTAAAGCAAGAATGTGAACTAAAAGTGCTAGTATATGACCCACAAGTAGCTTGCAACTAAGATGTCTGTTTTCTTTACCGCCGTTTATTTAGCCATTCAAAAAGTATTTGTTTAGCACTTTTGAAAGCCAAGCAATCCACATGGAGTCTACAATTCCCGGTGAGTCAAAGACCTGTCTGCAATTGTGGGCTTCCTTTGAAAGGAGCTCATGAGTCTACCTAGCTCACATTATCTGGAGGGTGAGTGAACACATTTTACCTATCCAGGTCTACTCTGCTCTGTGTGTGTGTGTGTGTGTGTGTGTGCACGCGCCCATGCACACAAGCCACTGTGATTTATAAAATGTAAGTCCATTTAAAGTGATACTGAAGCTTTTTGACATTACGTACTTTTTTCATTCAAAAGGTCGCAAAAGTCCAAGTTATAGAATGCTGGTCAGTGGATTTGTTTATGCTAAAAAATTATTCTCAAGCTAAAAAAAAGAAAAAGATGCCTATTTCTGTGCTTTTCTGGTAACTGCCCTTGTCTTCTCTGTTCTTCAGGGGTGAGTAGATTGTTCCTTCTGAAGCTTGAAGGGTTGTTTTTTTTCCCCCTTTGACATAAAGTATCACCTGAACTTTTTTCATATGTCTTATTTAGGGAAAAATTTATGATCTTTTTAACATTAGGAAGTTTTGCTTTTCCTGACATTTTATTGCTTTGCATATTTGAAACATTTCAATCCCAGACAATAAATATTATGTGATTATTGTTTTCATATGGATAGGCTATTTCCTCCTGT